AAAGGAACTCACTCAGTTGGCTTAAAACAAATGAGCACTTATATGAAACAGAGAATACACATGAACCCAGTCACTTCCTAATGCGTGTGATCTAGCATCAGTCTTCAGTGAATGCAGTGGCTTAAGGTTGTTGGCTTAATTAAAACAGGCATGTCTTTAGAAAGAATGGCTAATCGCTTTGAGGTCTCATGAAGCCTTCAAAAAGAATTTAAAAGTGATTGTTAAAGACAAATGAGATAAGTAGGATACGTTCTTAGGGGAAATTTTTTCAGTTTCCAATAAATCTGGGGTCACTTGTGACAAAGTCTGATCAGGATGTGATGGTGACAGAAAAAGATTTCACATGAAACTAAGAGATGCATGCTTGGGAGAAGAAGGTATGAGGAATGAAGATACATTTTGTGGAAGGAAAGATTAATCTTGTCCTGAACTAAAATGATTTTTCTAGAGTAAGAAAGGAAAAAGAACAAAAGCTGGAAGGCTTATGGAAGTTGACGGAAAAGGAATCTTGAAATCATATGTATGGGTCAGGTTGGCTAGGACTGAAATGGGTTTATTTAAGTGAACTTTCTTTGATTTCAAAAGTACCCTGATACCGAATTGAAATTTGGGGTTTTCTCTGTTAAAAAGGACAAGTTTTCTTGTACTGATGGTATGCTCTTGGTAAGAGATTACAAAGGCAAAGGAAGGATGTTGTGTTTGGTAAGATTATTTCCTATGTTCTGTATGATCTGCTCTTTGATTGCTTTGGTAACCCAGCCTTCTTAATATTGAATTAAATTTTGCTCCTAATGACTTAACTTTCTATAATTGCTTGTTAAGTCTTTAAATGGATGATTAAACGGATAACTAAAATAAGGAAATCTCTCTTTATGAAAGGGAGAAATGAAACTAATTAGGCCCATGTGATCTGCTAAAATCCTGACGTTTGGAAAGTAGATTTTAATCCAATTGTCCCTTACCAAGGATAAAGATGCTCCAGTGATGATTTATATGCATTCCCATTGGATATTAGCATTCCCACCTTGAAGGGCTACAGTTGAAAATATTATTAAAATACTTGCAGAAAGCATGTTTTCTTGTTGGAAAATCACCATGGAGCTCCATAGTGATCAGGGAACCCACTTTACAAGACAAAGTCGTTGCTTAACGTAAGATTTACTCCTTTTGGTAAATGTCCATTGTCCCCCTTTAAAATTGTTTTCAGAAGACCTGTGAGGCCAGATCAGGGAATGCATGAGCCTGCCTTAAGGCGACCTTCTAGCTTACAGCAAAGGACTTATAGACGCCCTTGAAATGAATTCACAGCTCAGAGAGCAATTTTTCCACAGCACACTGCCAGGAGATGAAGACATTGAAAGTCAAGGCGCCCAACCTGGAGACAGGTCCATCAGAAGACCTCCCCACAAGGACTCTCTCCAGCAAGGCTGGAGAGATCATGCCAGCTATGGCTAACTAATCCCTGCACTACAAAGTTAAAAGGTATTAACTCTGAATTCCTGTTTCTTATTTAAAAAGGCTTCCACACTTCCACCTCACTCACCTAATTGAACATCCCAGCCTATAGGCGACCTCAAGTTAAAGTCATCCAGAGCAGACAACCACCCAGTCGCGACCCACAGGTTGAGAACCGCTGTTTTAGGGCGATTCCATGTATACAAAAATGTATATGGATCCTTTACACTTTAATGTAAGCACTGTTAACAATACTGTATCAGATTCATGAGATTAGGGGGGAAATGGTGAAGAAATTGAAGTGTTCCCTTTCTATCTCAGAAAGGATGATGTATTGGAAGGGGAGGAATATTTAGAATGTCTCTCCCAGTGGAGTAACAATTAGGTGAAACCAAGATAACACTGAGATGTATGCTTGCAAATTTACCTTATAAATTTGAGCTTCTTGCTTAATTGGTGTAATGTGCTACACATTAGTACAATGTTCATTAAGATTTTGTCCTATTAGGAACACTCTCCCTCCCCGGAGCACATGTCCTAAACGCTAAGGGACCCATGAGACTTGCAACCAGGGGAGGAATGGGCAGTGGCAGTTTGTCCTGGGCTAATCCCCTGAACCTGTCCCCAAGGCCCCCTTTTCTCTGACTTCTCAGTGAGCCAAAGCAGCCCGGCCTGGGCTCTCTCCTGTTGCTTCTTCTATCCTAATCCCTTCCTCTTTGTTTCACTGTCCCCAGCCTTAATAAATGTACTCTCAGAATTCTTTTTAAATATATTTTTTATTTTATAATAAAAAAGGGAAGGAGGGAGAGGGATAGAAACATCAATGATGAGAATCAGTGAGTGGCTGCCTCCTGCATGCCCCCTACTGGGGATCGAGGCTGCAACCTAGGCATGTGCTCTGATAGGGCACCAAACCACAAACTCCTGGTTCATGGGTCAACACTCAACCATTGCGCCACACCAGCTGGGCAAAAAAAGATTTTGTTCTATTAACCATTACAAAGTCTCAAACAAGTAATTGCATGGTAAACATTGCATGGAAATCTGAGTGTGATTCTGGTACTAATGTGCATGTGAATGGTCCTTCTCAATTTCAACACTAGCTGGCCTTGGTACCACTCAGACATAATGTGAAATGTGACCAGAACCATTAATAGAATAGCCCACCTGGCCACTACAGCCATTCAAGCTCAAGAGACAACTTAAGATTCCTAAGCTTGAGTAGTCCATAACACCAGGATTGCTTGGTTATTTGCTTGCCACCCAGGGAGAAGTTTTTGTTTTTTGTTGTTTTTTGCCACAGCCAATACCACCAGCTGTACCTGGATAAGTAACTCTTCCCATGTAGAATTAGAAACAACCAAACTTGAAGACGCCTTAAGCTTGCAAACTCTCTTAAGGGGTATTCCAGTTTTGCCTCAAGCACCACTGGCTGGTTAGGATTTAAATTCTCTGATGTTTTTAGCTGACTCCCTACTGGCTTGGAGATATTATAAAGGCTGGGTTGAAAATTGTTTTATTCATTATTATTCTAATTTGTTCAATATATTTCACTGTCAGGCTTTTGGTGTTCTGTATAATCAAATGTTTAAAGCCCCCTACAAAAACTCTAGCAATGATTGCATGAAGAATGAAAACAATCCATTACGCCATTGCATCCTCGCCATATTGAATAGTGGTGAAAATGGGCATCTTTGTCTTATTCCTGATCTTAGAGGGAAAATGTTCAGCTTTGCACCATTGAGTATGATGTTAGTTGTGGGCTCATATACAGTCCTTATGATGTTGTGGTAAGTTCTTCTATACCCACATTATTGAGAAAGGCTTTTATTGTAAAAGGATATTGAGTTTTTGTCACAAGTATTCAGGGTTTTTGTTTTTTTATTACTAGTTCAATCTCATTACTAATAGGTTTCTTCAGATTTTCTGTTTCTTCCTGGCTTAGTCTTGGAATGTTGTATACTTCTAGAAATTTGTCCATTGCTAGTAGATTGTCCAATTTCTTGACATAATTATTCATAATTTTTATTGTATGTATGGCAAGTCTACTATATACTGTAATGCAGATACAGAGCTACAAGTTCACAACTATTCATACAAGTATACAAAAGGCTACAACTTACACACACTTTACTTGATTGAAAGCTTTCTTATGATACATAGAATGTTTTACATCCTTGATCTTAACTTTGTTCACACTGACTTCAGGGAGTTGTATTTGGGTTTCCAGGCTGGCGTCTCTGCTCAATTGCTGCTGTTGCCGTTTGTTTTCTTTCAGGATCAAGGTGGGTAGTTTCATATATCTTAATTTTCTTCAGATCTTTAGTATTACCTTATTATACCTACAATGGAACGAGCATCCTAAAGCTACCAAAATAAATCCTCCAACTCCCAACACCATATGATCTCCTAGTTCTACTAGTTAACAAAAAATGTCCAAGACCAGCCACAACAGATCCTTATGAACCATATAAGACTGTGTCCCAGGCACAAGGAATATTCTGAACATCTAAAATCCCTAGAAGCTTAAAGGGCTTCCCCATCCGGGGCTTGCAGCTGGGTAGCATGGGGACAGCCGATGCCTCTAATCCTGCCCTGCTCATGCCCAGGGCTGCCTTCATAGTATTCTTTAATGACCCTATTTCTGTGATATTTCTCTCTTATTTCATTTCTGATTCTATTTACTTAGACTCTTTTTCCTTGGTGTAAGTCTTGCTAGAGGTTTGTCAATTTTATGTATCCTTTCAAAAAAACAGCTCTTAATTTGATTTTTTTATAGTTCTTTTTTTGTCTGTATTTTATTTCCACTCTGATCTTTATTATTTTCCTCCTCTACTTATTTGGACTTTATTCTTTTTCTAGTTCCTTTAGGTGTGAAGTTAGATTATATTTGGGATTTTTTTCCCACTTCTTGAAGTAGGCCTGCATAGCTATGAACTTTCCTCTTATAATTGCTTTTGCTTCATTCCGTAAGTTTTGAAAAGTTGAGTTTTCATTTTCATTTGTCTCAAAAGTATTTTATTTCCTTTGTTTAGTAGCAATTGTTTAATTTCCATGTTGTAGTTTTCCCCGTTTCCTTCCTATAGTTGGTTTCTAGTTTCATGCAATTCTGATTGGAAAATACACATGATAAAAATTCAGTCTTCTTGAATTTATTTAGGTTTCTTTTGTGGTCTATCTTGAAAAATGTTCCATGTGCATTTGAGAAAAATGTATAATCCACACTGTTTGGATAAAATGTCCTAAAAATGCTTATTATATTAATCTATTCTAATGTGGCATTTAAGGCCTTTATTTTCTTATTTTTTGCCCAATCTATCCATTGAGGTAAGTGGGGCAGTAAAGTCCCCAACTATTATTGTATTCATTTCTGCCTTTATATTCATTAATATTTGCTTTAGAGACTTGGGTGCTCCTGTGTTGGGTGTGTAAATATTTAAGATTGTAATATCCTCTTCTTAGATTGACCCCTTTATCATTATGTAATGTCCTTTTCTCATTTTACATTCTTTGTTTTAAAACCTATTTTGTCTGATATGAGTGTTGATACCCCCAGCTTTCTCTTCATTTCTATTTGTAGGAATATCTTTTTTAATCCATTCAGTTCCAGTTTGTGGGTCTTTCAATCTAAGGTGAGTCTTTTGTAAGCAGCACAGAGATGGGTCTGGGGTCTTGGTGTTTAACACATCCTGCCTCCCTATAACTTTTGATTGGAGAATTTAGTCCATTTACATTTAACATAATTATGGACAGGCATGTACTTACTGCCATTTTGTTCTTTTGTTGATCGCTTTGCTGGTTTCCTTGAATGAAAATCTTTATCTTTCCTTCAATTCTGAATGACAACCTTGCCAGGTAAAATATACTAAGATTGTAGGTTCCTTTCTCTCAGCACTTTAAATATTTCCTGCCATTCCCTTCTAGCTTGTAAAAGTTCTGCTGAAAAATTAGCTATTAGTTTTTTTGGGTTTCCTTTAAATGTAATTCAATGTTTTCCCCTTGCTTCCTTCAAGATTGTGTTTTTATATTTAACTTTTGCCATTTAATTACAGTATATTTTGGTGTGGGCTTCTTTGGGTTCATCTTATTTGGAATTTTCTAATGTGGGTGTCTGTTTCCTTCCCTGGTTAGTTTTTGGCCATTATTTCTTAAAATGAACTTTCTGCCCCTCTCTCTCTCCTTCTGGGATCCCTATAATGCTGTCCCATGGGGCTCTCATACTATCCTTATTTTCTTAAATTCTTTTTTTTTTATTATGATTGGGTGATTTTCACTATTCTCCCTAGTTGTTGATCCATTCTTCTATATTAACCAGTCTGTTGTCAGATCCATCTAGTATGTTTTCCATTTAAGTTACTGTATTCTTCATCTCTGATTCTTTTTAATATTTTCTTTTTTGAAGTTGTCCCCGAGTTCCTTTATTCTACTCTCAAATTTACGGAGCACCCTTATGACAGTTTCTTTGAATTTTTTATCAAATTATTTTTCTCCATTTCATTAGTTTTTCCTCTTGTTCCCCCATTTCATCTGACTTTCTGTGTTTGTTTCTTTCTACAAGTTAGATGAAATAACTCTCTCCCGGTCTTGAAAAATTGGTCTTGTATAAGGTGGTGTCTGTGTAGACTGGGTGGCTTTGGCAAGTTGGAGTTAGGGCGGGCATGTGCAGTGCCCGGGGTGCTACCTGGCCAGAAGGAGCAGGTCTGGGTGTCCTGTTGTTTTGGCTGTTCACAGCTGCACTTGTGTGTGCTATAGAACCTTGCTGGTTCTACTCTTGATGCTAGTGGAGCTGTACAAAGGAGCACACCTAGTTGTTTTGATTGACTGCTGCTGGTCTGAGGATACCTGACCATGGGCACCGCAGCACTCACTGTTGTGCATGGCTCGCTTGTGGTTTGATTGACTGCTGCCGGTCTGGGTTGGGGTGCTCTCTGAGCATGTGCTGCAGCACTCTGCCAGCTCCCTCCCACTCTAGTAGTGGCCTCCCTCTATGTGCACGGCTCACACTGGGGCCCCTCTCTGTACATTCATAGGCATGTCCTATTGCTTTGATTGACATGGAGGTCTGAGCTGGACTGCCCCCTGGGCAGGAGCACAGTGATGCCCTGCTGAGTCCCTTTCACTCCAGGTGGGGTTGTCCAGGGGGCTTGCACAGCAGTGGCTGAGCCTGAGTGCCCTGTTGGGCCCAGTGGATCTAACTCTGGATTGGTGTGTAGGGGAAGGGGCTGTGCATGCTTGCTATGCACCCCTTCCTGCTGGAGCCGGTTACAGGAGGGTGACTGGGGATGCACTACTGTGGCCTTGAAGCAGGTTGGCCAGACCACTTGGGTAGAGTTCTCACCAATGCTACCCAAGTGTAAGGAGAATGCAAACAGTGGTGCTCACCAGCTACTCCGATTCCTGGTGGGTTCCCTGATTCTGAAGAGTTCCTGTAGTTCCCATGTTCTCCAAGTGGCCTCTTCCTCTCCTCTTTGTTGTGCAAAAGCTGTTCAGTTCTCTCTTAAAGACAACTACTCAAAATATAGATGTGCATTCACTGTGTTCACGGGAGAGGCATGCTCAGTGTCCTCTTATGCTGCCATCTTGGACCTGCCCAAATTTGGGCTACTTTGGGGAAGTCACTAAGGCCCCACCATAGAATAGCTCCAGGTATTAGAATATACATATTCCACCATGCGTGAACCCAGGGGACCCACATAGGCACATGTCGATTTACGAACATAATCTGCATCCAGGAAAAAAAAAAGGCCTTTGTGTGCAAAAAGGGAGTATCTGGTTTAACCACCTACAAAAGAGCATCTCCTTCTGTGAGGTCAATTAATGTCCAGGGCTAAGTGAAGAAAGAGGAAATGGAAGAACTCAGACTTTCATGCTTTTCTCTCAAAATTATCACACTTACCTACACACACCACGCTGACATGGTTCCTCTGTCTCAAATTATACCATGGGAGAAAACCCAGGTTAGTAAAGGGGGTGGCACCTTCCTACATGTAATGAAACACATACAACCCCCCCCACACACACACACACAAATACCCATCAAAAACATTAAGACACCTTATAGAAAAATAAGAAAAACTTTCCATTTTAGTTGCAATTTGACCTGAATTTATACACCATACTTTACTCCCAGCCTATGATTCTATCAGAATCGCCAGGCAGAGTTCAACCTTCTTGCTTAAGAAGCCTTTCAAAGACTTAACCTGCACACTTGCAAAGGGTTCCCACCAGTCCTGCTCCAGGACTCAGCTCACAGAGACCACTGCCTCGTTCCCAACAAGCTGGAGGAAGTCCAGCCCAGTGTCACCAGTGTCTCACTTCACTTGGTCACTCAGTTGTTCCTGACGATGATGCCAGGAGCGTCTGGCTGACTGAAAAGTGGAACGTGACAGACCAAAGCATGAGGACACGAGACAATGGTTGTATGGCAGAGAATCATCAGAACAACAACAAAACGGATAGTCTTGTGCAAGACCATGGATATAAAACGAGTAGCTCTGGGACTCAATAAACAAGTACAGTACTGTGTATTTTGGTAAACAAATGGTTGTTCAATAGTAGATAACTATTCTTTTTTCTAATTCAGGGTTGAGAGGTTTGTGTTCAGAGTCTACACATGTTGGTCTGTAAAGCCCCTCCTCTGAGGATTCTCTGGTACGTGGTGGTTCAGCGCAGGGGTAATTCTCATTAACAGAGAGAAATGGCAGCCAGACCTGAGCCAGACCCTGGTCTCCCAGGCAGGCCTCAGTTCTTCTTGTCCTTCTGAGGCTGGCTTCTTGTGATCCCCAGGTTGTTCCACACCTCTGTGTACATGAGCGTCCCAATGAAGACACACAAGGTGCCCAGCCAGTGCCACACAGTGAAAGGGTTCTGGAAGTACAAGATGGAGATGATGAGGCTCACAAACTTGCGTAGAGTCACAACGAGTGTGACGGTGAGGGAGGTGCATTCTGTGGTGAGAATAAAGACACCCCGAATGCACACGTACCTGGAGAGACAGGGTTAAGGTCGTTTTCTGACTACTGAGAGATCAGCTGGGGAGCACTTTCTGGCATGGCTCTTGGCTTAAATGTTCATATTCTAAGAACCAGAAAACTCAGGGGTTGGCTATGGCGGCTCCTTGGTAGAACATTCTGCAGATTCCTATCCTGCCATTCCAATTGTGGGTCCCAACTCAAACTGCCTAAAACCTCCCATCATTCTTATTCTGGATTCTTCCCACAGTTTACAGTGAAGGTCACCACCCAAGGAATGACAGAGGTTAACACTCTCAGTAAAGGTCGTCACACCTACCTCTACTTGATCTGGTCCCCAGTCCTTCCACCCCTTCTCCAAAAAAGAACTCTGTAAGGCAAATCTATGAGGTGAAGTGAGAGGAATGAAGTCAATCCCATCTGTTCCAAAGACTTCACAGTTTTTATAATGGACTTAAGGTCGTTCGAAAGAAGCATTATTTTAGTTTTAATTCACTTGGAATTTTTCAGAATTTTGTGGCAGCTTGTGAAATGTCCCAGAGTACTACAAAACTCCAGGTAGAAATCACAGAGCATGCATGTCATATACTCATTCTTAATCACCCACTGACTTCTACCCCTGCACCCCAAGCACCTCCTTCACAGTGCCCTGTGCCCTGCTGACCTCGGCTCCCACTGTCATCTCTTTGGCCCTCGACAGGGAGCTCAATGGATGGGCCTTTCTCCTCCTGCAGAACAGATCAAAGCAGAAATGAAACTCATGTCACTGAACTGTCAGGGGATGAACAATCCCATGCCAAAGGAGACCATGCGGCAGAGGAGTGCGAAGGATACTGAGTGATGACATTCATGAGGAGGTAGAACCACATGATGGGCATTGCCACACCAACAACCGGAACTTGATATAATTCTGCAAAGATTAAGAGGGGAGATAGCTGTATTACTTTTAACAGGTAAAGTTTTCATCTTTTTGAACAAACTGAACATAACAGAGATAATGATATTATTTCCCTTGCAATTAGATTTGGACCAAACACCACTTTATTTGCCCTTGATTCCAAGCTGTATCAGCCTCAAGAGTCCTTGAATTGCTTTCTTAAAACAAATGAGAATTTATCTTAAGTTTAAAATAAACTCTACCATTCACCTAAACAGGACTCCACTTTACAGAGAAAGGCTGTGAATCACAGAGAAGTTCAAATGATGTGGTCTTAACAACTCAACACAGAGAAAAGACAACCAGTAACTAAATGTCATTTGGGAAATACTGTCAATCCTACTAGTAATCAAATAATTCTAAAATTTACAAATAATATTCTAATCTGGCAAGGTAAAATTGGAATTGGCAGCCATTCAGCTGATGGTAGTATAAATTGATTTTTAAAAAATCAATTTCACAATTCTTATTAAGGGGTCATAAAAGTGTTGATACCCATTCTTAGGAAAAACTCTGAATTAATCTAAATGTCCAATGATAGAGCAATGGCTGTGCAAAGGTGCTTTGACTAGCTGAGGCATTGTATGTACATTCTATTTAAAATATAAGGATTATATATAGTCACACACAAAAACTAAGAATGAAAGTGAAAAAGTATAAATTTTATCTACACAAGGGTTACAACGATGTAAGAATTTATGTAAATGGTGTCTGGAAGGAAACTGGTAAAATGAAATTAGCTGATGTATAGAGTGATGGAAGTTATTAAACTTCTTTTTAACGACATTCTTATGTTAGTTTTATATAAGAGGTTTGCACAGTGAACATCTGAGAGGAAACAAAATGCCCATGATTAACAAGAATAAGGACATAATAACCCTCTCAGGGTCGCTTCTTTTATATCGCTAACTTGCTTTTGGAGTTTGAAATATACAGCATAACTTAGGAAATTCCAAAGGTGATGCTGAGTTCTGGTTAGGAAAAGAACATTAATTTTCTTTTGCAAGAAAATTAAAAGCCATCTAGATAAAGAGATAACTGTATGTCTAGACTAGTGAGAAATCCCAATAATCTGGTATTCTATTGTCTTTGAAACACTCAGCAAGTATTGAAATGAAAAGAAAGTTAACAAATGTTATTACTATTTAATAACTTTAGAGATCCACTGTATCAATTGCTGAGGAAAGAGATAGTATTACCTACAACATTTAGATGGATATTTGGCTCTCTTAGAAAAATCAAGGATAATAGGTTCCAGATGCTAAGACTCAAGAAGAGAAAAAAAATGTAAATTTAACTTAGGGATGATCTTGAAAAAGTTAAAGGCAGATTCTAAAAAGTAAAAATGTATAAGTACCCAGCACTGCAACTTTTGGAAGAAGCATTCTAATAATTAAATCAAAATGAATCTGATAGTGTGTTTACTCAAACAGCTCTTTGCTATGCAGGGACTGTCAGAAACTCTGAAAACCATGTGTCAAAAATCAGCTGTATGTCAATCACCTCAATAAAAAAACTCAGAAATGGGTAATTCAGAGCCTTAAAAACTTAACTGGCAATTGATAGCTAATTTATTAGTCACTTTAAGAAGTAAAAGCTAATTAATACTGTAGACTTTTGAATTAATTTTGCTTATTCCTGCAAACTCTAACCTGTCACCATTTTTGCTTCCTCTTCCCCAAGGCTCCCATCTCTGCTGTGTGTTAGGACTATTTCTTTGCATTCTTGAAAAGCAAACCTTCCGCATTCAAATGCAAACACACAATTCCAAAGCAAAACAGAAAATCTGAAGATACATATTCTTATTTCTCTTGCAAATCATTGAGAAACAACTGCCAATGCTTTTGCTGCTGCAACTACTGATGAGTGGCACTATATTCCAGGAAGGTAGAATGGAGAGGGTTTAAGTGGACCAGATGACTTGCATAAAAACATCAGTGGTCAAGTCCAGAGTAAAACTGAAACTTGCCTTGGAAGCTCTCAGGCAATTCTACTGAGTAACCCCAAACTCACCAGACTTATTGAAAAGAGCTGCATGGTCATAAATGTCAGAAGCCAAGAAGATGAATCCAGGCAGTGGAAGGGCATGCTAGGGGAAGAAATATTTCACATCAAATGAAATGCAACACACAACAGAATAATGAGCAGTTTTATAAGTTGTTTGACAAGCAATCAAGAAAAGCAAATAGGACTAAGTTAAATGTATCCAGTGCTTCTAACGACCTGACACTGTCTGGCTCAATAAACCCCAAATTACGGTTCTTGCCCTTTTGGAGTTTGTGATGATCATCACACACACACAACAAAAGGGAATACACACAGTCATTGTGTCCAAAGATTTGTTATGTTTTACTAATTTTGAGAATAGTTAAGCAAATGAAATGGATTTAAAAATTATAAAGAACATGGGGCAGGTCCTGGCCGGTGCTGCTCAATGATTAGAGCGACAGCCTGAGCACCTCGATTTCCAGTCAAGGGCATGTACCTGGGTTGCGGGTTTGATACCTGCCCCAGTTGGGGCAGGTGCATGAGGCAACCGATGTGTGTCTCTCACATTGATGCCTCTCCCTCTCTCCCTCTCTCTCTCTCTCTCCACCCTCCCCCAACAATCAATGGAAAAAAATATCCTCAAGTGAGGATTAACAACAACAACAAAAGGAATGTGCAGGCAGAGTTCAGATTGTTTAGAAAAGTAGTAGGAAAAGAGATGGCGAACAATTCAATGTCAGGGAAAAAATAAATGAAGAATGAAAAGAGGTTGAATTGGAAGAAGAAACAACAGATAAGCAAAGATTAATATACTTGACACCAACTCACCACCACAACAATTGAATAAGGAATCATGGCTAACATTTACTCAGAAGTCATTATGTGCCGCTTACTGTTCTAAAAGAAAGATGTGAGCCAAATGGCGTGTGTATTTTTACATTCCCAGGCACGTACTCTAGCTCCAACTAATAAGCCAAACTGCTTGTCTGCAGCTTCAGTACAAAAAGTTGGCAGTGAAGGAATCCCCGAGTTACCAAACCTCACCATGACCTTGAGGGGCTGTGCTGTGGGCATTATCACAACAGGAGAGAGGGAGGAGGAAGAGGCCCTAGACCAGTGGTCGGCAAACTCATGAGTCAACAGAGCCAAATATCAACAGTACAATGATTGAAATTTCTTTTGAGAGCCAAATTTTGTAAACTTAAAACTATATAGGTAGGTACATTGTTATTAACTTAATTAGGGTACTCCTAAGGCTTAGGAAGAGCCACACTAAGGGGCTCGCGAGCTGCAGTTTGCCGACCACGGCCGTAGACCAGCAGTTTAAAACAAAGAAGCTGAAGCGTATATTATTGCTATTTAAACTCTCCATAAAATGACTGAAGCCCATCTGGGGGCCTCCTCTCACCCGTCTTCCCCAACCTTCTCAAAGGCCTGCCTGCACATATTCCCCTGGGCATGCAGTTTTTGTAGCTTCGTTTCCTTTTCCAGGTTTCCAGATTGGCCTGAACCTGGGTGCATCTGCAGGAACACGGGGTGCAGGTTCCTGGTCTGCCCGGTGGCTCCTGGTGAGCAGACATGTTCACGCAGACTGGCTGTGACCACCTGTGTGGAGGGCTGTGGCTCAGATGCACAGCAGCAGCCTATGAAAGGCACTGCAGTCTGTGGGCCCAAAGCCGGGTGATCAACTGATCCTTCAACTCCATTAGCAGGATGGCATGTTACATTCGAAGTCACACAACAATATAATAACGCAGTCATTTTCATCCTCCCCAGGTTCAAGAAATTGCTTACATTATAAAACAAAGCCTCCTTGGAATGTTTCCCAAACTGTTTGTATAGAGTCTCTTGGAAGATGCCCATCCTCGCGGACATCAGGAGTGCGAACGTCAGTGCCCCAATCCCTGCAAAACAAAGGCCAGGTTACAAGACACCTGCATTCGCTACTCTCCAGATATTCCGTTAAAGAACATTTATTGATTATTTAAATGTACTACAAATATTACAAACTAACTGTAGAATATGCACAAAACTTTAAAAAGAAATAAAAATCAACTATAATATTACCATCCAGTCCTTGATAGTTTTCTACATCTCTCTAAGCCAGGATCATATTGAGTACACAGTTTTATGTCTTGCCTTTTTCATGATCTTTTTCTGGATTTTTCTTCAGGTCATTCATTAAAATTTTTTCAAAAGTATGATTTAATGGCCACACATTATTCTTCTCATGTGGATGTACTTAGTGTCTTACAATATGAGGATGGTTAGATTACTTCCAATTATTTCTTCATTAAAATCAATGTACATCCGTGTATGTAAATCTTTTTAAAATGTTATTTCCTTAGTATACACTCTCACAAGTGGAATTACTGAGTCAAAAGTTGTAGACATTTTAAAAACTCAATACATATACTTTTTTCCAGAAAGGCATGTCAATTTATACTGTAAACAGTTTATGTGAAAATGGTTGTCCTATTGCACCCTCAGCAGCAAAGAGAATAATCATTTATTATCTTGCCAATATAATAGATCAAAAATAAAAAGATACTGCATCTTTGATTCAAGTTGCATTTCTTTAATTATTAGACTAGTTAGAGGCTGATCATAAAATTACAGGACATTGCCCTGACCGGTTTGGTTCAGTGGATAGAGCGTCGGCCTGCGGACTCAAGAGTCCCGGGTTCGATTCCGGTCAAGGGCATGTACCTTGGTTGCGGGCACATCCCCAGTGGGGAGCGTGCAGGAGGCAGCTGATCGATGTTTCTCTCTCATCGATGTTTCTAACTCTCTATCCCTCTCCCTTCCACTGTGGGAAAAAATCAATAAAATATTAAACAAAAATTACAGGACATTAATATTTTCCTCCATAAGTGGTATGTTCAAATCCTTTGCAAATTTCTCCTAATAGATAGTGTTCTTCCAATAGCTCATGAAGATCTTTCTGTGTTAGGAATAGCAATCTAAAGGGGTGGGCGGGGTAAAGTTTTAAAGCCAAGAAGCAAGAATCCAGTTCCTTCCCTGCTGTTTCTCTTTCGCCTGGCCAGTCTAAACCTATTTGCCAGCACGGAAAGCTTCACCTCTGTATCTCACAACGGGAGGGCCAAGCACTACAGGAATCGTGTCATCACTTCCACAAAGATACACAATTCCCGGGAGATCCTGCTGACCAGTCAGGTCTGGGAACACTGCCATGTGGAACAGCTAACTTCTGAAGAAAATAAATCTAAGATTTAGCAATGGGTCCCTTGGGGACTTAGAGCCCACTGCTACAACGTGCCCTTCTGAAGAAGCCTGTGGTCAGCAGACCAGTCACAAGGAGACGGATGACAGCCAAGCACCCACAGGGTGCGGGCAGGCAGGCAGGTGCTTTTCTTCCTAGATCAGTGGCAGCAGAGAAACATGGGTCCATGTCACAGAACACACCACCATGACCTCGCCGTTTCCTTTCTGTCACTTCTTGAGCACTGTGGTTCAGACTTATGATCCCAGGTGCCTCTCTCCTGTGGCATCATTTGTTTAGCTAACGCTTCTTGCCAAGAAGCATGTCCCTTAGGAGAAAACTCAGCAAACAGAACTGCAGAGGCAATTATCATTATTGTAATTAGCATACTTGCCTAGTAACCACCATGTAAATGCCTGGAATCCTTCATTCTCACTCAAGCTGGACTGGGAAGTCTAGGGAATAAGAAAAAACATTAGGTACAGAGACCAGAACCACAAGCAATGGGCCTGGACACAAGGGAAATGTTTGCTACCTTTTTCCCTCCTCTCTTTCTATCATTAGTAAGTACCTGGTGCCTGGGCCCCATGGCAAGCAGTGAATATAAATGATTTGTGAACTGATTCTTACCACCTGCTTTGCTGACATGGAAGTGCAAATAAATATCCCCACAGAAACCAGGGCAATGGAAGCATATTTGAATATACTGTATCTGCAGAAATAAGAACAAGAACACATTAAGAAGGCACAGGTACAAATTTCCACAGGATGTTTTCAGTAGATGGTGCCTGAGAGTATAAATCACCAGCAGAGCCCATGTAAATCTGCATGTGCAAGGATCAGGGTGTCCACTGGTTGCTACACACACCCTTCCTTGGTATTGCTTAAAACAGTTTCTAAAAGTTTGTGGACCAACAGATGGTTTCATTAGGAAAAAAAAAAAAAAGACCAGACATGACATTCCATTGGTGACAGTCACATAGAACAGTTCTGACACTTTTCATTCTATCTTCTTGGCCACTTGGGCTTTATGCGGAATTTTCTTTGTACTAAGCACGATTAGTCCTTCGTTCATTGTGTTGATGAACACCTTCTCTGACAGCACTGTCCCACACAACTCTGAGGCTGGAAATGCTCCATCCTGGGCTCTCCAATGCGGTCACCACCAGCCACATGTGGCTACTGGGCAATTAAACTCTGACCAGTGAGACTGGGAAACTGAATATTTAATTTTAAGTAATTTAAATGTTAAATGTGAATAGTCACGTGTGGCTTCTGGTGACCACAAGGGACACTGAAGTTTTCAATCGATTGGCTTCATAGGTTAGGATGGATCTAAGGACTCAATGATGCTAATTCTACAGAGAGAACACTGCTGCACAGGTGGGACCCCCTACCTGGACACCTGCTTCAGGAATGCATATCATTGCCACAGAGAGAACTCAAACAAAGAAGGCCAGGAGCACGCCCCCTCTAGCAGGAGAGAAGGAATCCATGTGCCTAGCTTATAGGTGGGGCCAAGAATGTGCTTCCTATACATAAATTATAAAAGTGCATCGTTTACCTTTTCTTCAAAATGATAATCCCTAGAATCATGTTGGCAATTAGAGAACCCTGTAAAAGGAGACAAGAGGAAGTTTTAGTGCACTAGGGAAA